GTGCTTCACTCTGCTGTCATCGATTAGAGTATATAAGTCCTACCCTGACTCAGTAGTATTAAGCTTACTAACTTTGAAGTGAAAAGGCTTTCTCAACAATGCGGACCTTTGAATCGGAATCCTTGCAAAAACAGTACATTGGACTCGCTGCGATTTGGAGAAAGATTCTCTACTATAACTAATTCTAGGTATAATCCCATCAGTAAATGTGGTGTTCTCTTCAGTACCATGTGTAAACTGTATTGTTGATCCAGAGTCTGGATTTCCAGACGCAGCCATCCAAGATGCTGCAACCTGTACAAAGCGATGTAACGTGTTGTAGTGTAAGGCATCCCCATCTTCACTCTACAGCTCCAGTTTGGAATCTGCTTCACGAGAGGAAACTGTTCTTTCGGACATGATCGTACGTCTTAGATGGATTGTAGTGCTGACTGTGTCGGCTCTTCTTGCCAGTGCTGGTGTTCTCTCATCAACTGTGGAGGCCACGCAAGTCAAGTCACTTTTCGATGAAAATGCAGCTCGCACCCACCGCTACGACAACCGAGGGAGGTCATTACGAGTCACTCAGGCACCAGACGAGAGTGAAAATGCTACCGGTAAAAAACATTCGACTGTTGCTGAAGAGAGAATTTCGTTTACAGCAAATATCAAACTAGGCTTCTGGGAAACAATTGGTGTGTCTCCCGCCACAGCGAAGAAATGGTTGGGGATGCCAGCGAATGTATTCGGACCTGCACTATTGAACGAGAAGAAATTCCCTCAGTACTTGTCATACTACAACAGGATCGAAAAGAATGAAATGTGGCTACATGCCGACAGATTCGTCGCCACCACCCAATATTGGGCCAACATGGAGGTGGAATTGCGCCGATCAATTAACAACTTGGAAGATCTGAAGGCGGCGATCAAGGGCACCAACGCGTTCAGAAAATACAAGCGCTATGCTCATACTTTCGATGACAAAATCGTTAATGTCATGGGTTCTGGATATCATAACCCCACGAACTTCGGGAACGACCTTAAAAAAGCCAAGGCGATTGAATGGTGGGTGAGGGCAGAGATCTGGGGAGAATATAAAATTGATCCGTACTACGTAACCACATGGATGAAGAACGCACGCTTGGGGGAATCGTATTATACGCACTACAAGGATGCGTTTGACGCTGCCCCAGTGAAACTGACGCTACTTGGGAAGGAAAAGGCAGATAAAGCAGCATTAAAAAAGTTTATGCTCGCCGAAGGTTCCACAATGTGAGAATAAGGAAAGAATTATGATGAATCCTTCGGGGGTTATCCAGACACTGCGTTGAAAACAATGGGAGAAGGAAGAGTACGAGTGGGGAGAGATTAACTACGACTAGCAGGGTTTGAGGAGATATGATGAGGAGGCCCATTCGAATCGGGGATATTACGTATTGCACTGTTACACGAGAAACCAGTCGAAAGAGAACCTGCTTCACGTGTTTGGACTACTGAGGATTATTGTCCTTGAGGTATGACGCAGTTTTGCCAACGGATGTCTAACCCGCAACATCTTTAAATGTACGCTTGCTCCAACAGTAGTATCCAATCTGTTTAGCCTAAACTCAATCGTTTTTTCGAGGTTTTTGTATTATTTCTGACAGAGCAATATTCTTGAGTAGGCGATGTCTTTATCGTTCATGATATCACTAGAGGTATAAGAACGAGGTGGCGCATCTCATAGGTTCTCATGACAAGTTAATTACACGGGGTTTTCAACAAGAGTGTCTTCATCTCGGTTTCGATCCGATTCATTGCCATCTCTGAGCGACTTTAGCACCTTTTTTCTTGACGTACGAGTTGAACATGCCCATGTAGTGAACACAGTTCAACTCATATACATCGAATGTTAAAGCTGATGAAGATATCTCTGGGGATTTGTAGTGACATTGGAGATTCAATAGAAGGGCGGTCAACAATGTTAAGTCGCCTTATTCTAGCGATCGTACTCACTATAGGAACAAACTCTTTCGGCAGCACTCTGGAAACCAGATCCGCAGGAAGATATATAGAACGAGCTAAAATATCGGAGACCAGCAATAACGAAGAACCGAATAGAATGCAGGAGGTTATACATGTACTGTAGTTACAAACACTGGCTAAATGACCCTTGTCTGTCAAACTTGTGTAATATACCCTCCCGAACGTACTAACTTGCCCAAATAACCAATTACTGTACTCTAACAAGCAAAGTGTATCTCAGTGAGATGGGTGAATGAACTTCGTGTTGGTACTGTTGTGGTCTACACAATCCCGAGTCATCGCATCGCCGCTTGTTGTGCTCGGTCCATCTCTTTATCTACTTTAGCAACTCGGATAAAAGTCCGGTTAAAATCATGAAAGGCGAAGGAGGAACACAAGCAGGAAAGGTAGTTTTCGCGAAGAAACTAGTGCATCACCTTCCTCGTATGTTACCGAATGGTTGATCCGAGGAGGAGGACAAGGGAGACCTGGGATGGTGGAAAGCTGTTAGGATGAATGCCCGAGAGTTACGGTAGGCGATATTCATAATTACATACTTGAGTGAGTACACGAGGTTAGGGAGCAATAGTTTCATACTTGAGTGAGTACACGAGCTTAGGGAGCAGTAGTTTCAGATCCAACTCCACGTAATGTGACTACTCCTCACTCTTTTTTAGCAACTAATAAGGCAGAGCCGCCCGAATGCACTGATATATTACAAGTTCCTATACTTTATGGGGTCAAACGAAGAATTTTATTAGTGGAGCTTAAGCGATGACCATTAGCTCAATCCGATAAGATCGGTGCTGTAATGGAATTTCTATACGTAACGCTAATCGGTTACAATAAGACGGATCTTCTTGGTAGACTACCAATCAGCGATACGAATCACTGTCAGACAATCGCTTAGATATTCGATAAAAAGTTTAGGTCGGAAAGCTCCTTAAATCAACAATACAGTTCTCATTTTACGCTATCTAGCTCCTATCTTGTCTACTCGTACACGTGCATCGTGTGTACGTTGTACAAGCTAAGAACAGTTAGGCTTCCTTTTACTCGTGCGCACACGTGTAAGCTAACTAGTGAGCCCTAGGCCCACTTCACCTGGTAGCACTGTAATCCGTCCAATGACCGACTACCTTCTTCGTATGAGCTACCAACCCGGGCTAGAAAATCTCCCGTTGGACAGAACGTCTGTCGGAAGACCGAGAATTGCTGTTACGCATGTGGTGCGTACAGTTTGATCCCATCTAGCGGATAAAGACTCCAACGACTTTCGACTGTCATTGGTAAGGCGGTAGAAACGACATTGCGCGCACACTATCGCCGACAGAGCACCATAGTGTTGCTCTGGGGTTCGTCATGAGGGAGCAACGCGAGGTTGCTGGTGCGAAGCCAGTGTCTCCCGGGGAGACACCACGGAAAGAACACCTGAAGTTACGTGTCAGTAGCTACATGAGTAGAGAAGGCGAGACCCTTCTCCGATGGCTTGTCAAACTTGACACTGCCATTATGTCTCGACATCTCGTCGACCCATTGGCGAAAGTCGCCTTCTCCATGTCTTGTCTTGGCGGACGCGGGAAGACGTTGGGACTACGGGCGCAGCCTCACTGATCGTGCGTGCTTCAGCACGCACGCGTCCTCCAAGGAGGAGCTCAAGCTCGCGTTTGAGCCCCCTCAAAACTAGTTCCGGTCGAGAGCGAAGTTTCTCGACCTGCGACAGGGTACGCAAGAAATACATGGTTACATCCAATGCGCTCCGTACTTGGTCGTAACGTCGTGATCGATCCGATGGATGAGACGGCCAAGGTCGTCACGATCATGAAGGGGTTGAAGGATGGGCCTGTGAAGACCTATTTTTTCAAAATTAACCGAATATTCTTGGAGTTGCAATTACCTTCGCTACACAAGCTTAGCCTAAGACAGGTTAAGCTGCACAAGAACGTGCCACGCCCGCCTCGGCCGGCTGTTAAGACGGAAGGGCCTGAACCATTGGAACTTTCGTATACATCTGATGTCGGACGGCAGAAGCAAAAAGGAAGCAACCTTGCGATGCTTCCGATACAAAAACATTGATCACTACGCACGTGAATGTACAGCATATGTACCCTCAAGTCGAGTTCAACGTGGCGATATTAGTTATCGTCACGTTCAAATAAACGCAAGGGGCCAGTAGGCGCGGGGCGCCCTACCGATAATACAGTCATGTGTATCTACAACGGACACGCGGTATTAAGGACTGCAGCCCCGGTGCGAGGGAATCGCACTGGAAAGTACAAGATGCCTTGTCTAACCTTGGCTTCGTGAAGGTGAAGTCGACGACGAAGAGAGCGGAATCTCCTCGGGTATTGGTGGACTCGGGCGCGGCAAACAACTTTGATCGACAAAAATGCCTACCGTTGTTGGCCTTCGAGGAGAAGCCTGTGTCTCAAAGTCTGTTGGAAGTACGATTGGCACCGGGTACCATCGTGACGACCGAGAAGCGTGTAATTCGCGCACGCTTCTCGTACAACACCGGGTGTTTGTGGAAGAACTTCTCGTCCTGGACTTGGACGACAAGTTCGACATGGTGTTGGCCATGCCGTGGCTTACAGGGGATGATCCTATTATCGACTGGGAGAAGCGTACGGCCTTACGCTTCGGACACCGCGGTGCAACAGAAGCGATGCCCCTGTTAGCGCAGCGGATGTACCATTAGATGCATCCGAACCCCTCCAGAGACGGCGGTGCAAGTCGCTGTCTCCGGTCGTAGCACATGGAGTACACGGGCGGTAATCACTCCAGGAGTCGCTGACAGTGTGGTGGAGCGGTATCTGCAAAATCTGCGAAGATGCTGGATCCGGCTTGCCACTGTGTCCAGGACACCGACTATAGGAGGGGGTACTCCTATTGGTCCGTGATCAGCTGAACTTCTTCACCTGGTGTACCCGTCGGTAGGGCCGGATCCTTCTCCCCCGGTAACTGCAGGAGAGGTCCAAGTGTTGAAGACCTTGAATGTCTTGGCGAGACGCAGGGATGTGAGGTAACAGCGCGGAAAGTCTTCGCTCTGCTGCCGAGTAGGTTGATCCGGAGCCCACGTGAACAGTCGAACGTGGATCACCGGTGGCGGATCTTGGATCCGGACGTGTTGTTGCCTTTGTGTGTTGGTGGTTGTTTATCTTGCGATCTCTTTGAGTTACTTGCAGCCTTCGATGGCTGGATCTTGGGGGGTGAGAGATCGACGGATCTTCACAGCCAAGCACTAAATGCTGTGGATCCGGAGCTTGCACGTATGGAAAAAGTATTAGGTAGTTGGATCTGGCCAATATACTACCAAGGTTATCCAGACCACACTCAATACAATATTCCTAATACGGGATCACCCTATAAGCTTTGATATGAGGTGTTTGTAGCACTCGAAGTGTGGATCAAACAAAGAAACCAACCACTTGTGCCCAAGGATGCAAATTCGATTCTACGTGATTCCTAAGACCTTGATCCTGATTTGTCTCATCCTCTACTACCTGGATCCACATATTACCTTCCCACCATCTGCTTATCTTCGGATCTTTCTGTATACAGCAGAATGCTTAACTTGTTTACTTGATCTTGATTCGCCTTGGGTAATCATATCTGGATCATGCAAAATTATACCCAGATCAGGCACCTATAAATAGACCTTCCCAGATTGATATAATCACCTCAGAATCAGTTGATCTGAGTCCATCAGACTGGGTCCATGGTAATCTCTACAGATCCAGGCATACCCGTCACTCCACGTGATCCGATCACTTCCTGTCCGTAATTTCTCGGAATCCCCTTTACCACAGAATCGTATCAGACTTTCCAGTACCAGTCTCAATCCCTCCCATGCCGAACCACAACAATGTTAGTAGCTCCCAGAATAGACGCTCACGCATCATAGAGAGTCGAGTAGTCTAGATACATCCATCCACAATCAGGAACATTCTTCTCAAGGTCACGTCTCGTCATCGATCAGGGTGAATTCGTCAATTCTTGGGTTGGTCACATTTTCCGTATTCTTCACTTCTTAACCCCCGACCGCGAGCGTTTTGAGACCCCACCGTCCTACACACGTTATGGCTTTATCTCGTGATGGGTTCCTATAGAAAAGATCAAACTAATACTATCGTGTACATACCAAAGCCAGTCCATGCCCCTAACCGGTATTTGCCCTCTCGGATCTAATGTGTATCGATGACATTAAGATGGCTCCAGCATGCACGATATGCTATCTAATGTGTCTGGCACTCAACAATAAGGAGGGGAAGACAAGACACATAATTGTTGAGAGATTAAAGTCAGATGGCATAAGGCCGTACTGAAAGCAAATAAAAAATAGCCGGAAGAAACTGTAGCACCATTACATTGCGTTTCGGCGAGCACGCTTGTGCTGTGCGTGCCACTACTACCCGCGTCCTAAATTGACTCGATATCGCTGGCGCTACTGTCACCAACAGCCCATACAGTGGGCTTCCTTGCGGGGATCTTGCGCTTCGCGAGAGACGGAGGGATGAGGGTGCCATTTTCTAGTGGCGGTGCCAGACCTCGAAGCATGGGGTTGCCTCGCCGTTGCTGGTAAGCTTGAGTTTGTTGCAGAGGAAGGCACGCGCGGCCTGGGCGTTTTTAGCAGCCGTCTTGAGCTTTCAGCCCCCGGAGTAGAATGTAGTCTCGCTAACTTTTGCCTCGCCAGCCCTCTTGAGTACCGAACGCAACTTACAGGCGCGCTGGCTTACGAGTGGCATCGGAGTTATCCTTTCTCCACTCGCCAGTGTGAATTGGGACACGAGCCCTGTAGTCTTCCGCTGCTTTGTAGGGGTGTGACGCATGCCACGATGACGTATCAATTAAGTCCAGTCGTCGGGCTTGAGCTGTATCATCTCTCAACGGAGCTTATTCAAGAACTCCACGTGCGTAGCCTTTCCCTTGCCGCCCTGGACCCGACGGCAGTTGTACACGATAAAGGTATTGACGACGACAAGGTCGATGAGACTGAGGAACAACGACTCGTAAAATTGGTTGTAGCACCAGGCCATGTGAAGAGAGTATCAACAAGAAGCAGGCACGATAGTTAGAAAGAATAATCTTATATAATACATGATAACAAGACTTTACATATACGTCGACTCCGCCCACGTAGGTTTGATAGTCCTTCATCACCCGTGGATCAATCAGCTCGGCCTTCTCAGCAGTAATATCATCTCTCCGAACGATCGGGTTCATCTGTGTACTGCCTCCCGCCGCGAGCAAATGCACGCGTTGGTTGTCGTGCTCCGGGACTGCTTTCATCACTGGCACATGCAGGAATTTTACAACTTGGTAGGTATCCATCTCGATCATTTTAGGCCGCTTGTTAGAGACGACTCTTGCCGTTCTTCTTAGGCGGTAGGATGGGTTCGCACAGCCCACGGTTGTTCATCATAATGGTGCCGATACTGTAGAACTTCATGGTGAGCAGCTGCATGGCTAACGCTACTAATCTGTAAAATCTATCCGTTACCACCAGACCGAAGTCACTTGGTCCTGACGCACCAAAACCCTTCTTCAGATCCCACCCTACCGCAGCGGTCCCGGACTTCTCGTCAGGAGGAGTGGTGTTGTCTTGTATCTGCTTCTTTCCACAATAGACCTCAAAGCTTTATTGGACACAACACACAAGACTACTTATTAGACACGATAAGTGAACTTATATATAAAAAACCGCACCCAAGGCACGCTTCACCTTACCGGATGCAGTACGCTGTTTGTGAGAAGAACAACATGAACAGCGTTGTACCTCACTTGTGGGGGTTATCCTTCATGTACACCCGCATGCGGTTGAATTACGATCTTGACGGTAGCATGGCTTCGTCGAATGCCATAATGGACGGTGGGATAATATTGACTTGGAACGTTTCTTGGGGCACGCTGATGATAGATCACTGCTTCCAGGCACGACCACTGGCAACACGGCGGTCTCCATTGCTGCTGAAGTGTAGGTTCCACGATATATGTGCAAACCGGTCACAGGTCATGTAGAGGTTGATGTAACCACGAGGAATAACTCCTCCGCCCGTGGTGCATCAGTGATGTTCAAACTTCGCTCGTTTTGGCACAATCGAACTCGCAATAAAAACACACAACCCGCGACCAGAAATGCCCACAGTAGATTGTAGGAACTCCTTTTTCTGCTCTGACGTCTGTACTTGAAAATCGGGATGTTTCTCGTTACGGGCTTACTGCTTGGGTGTTGGGCGGTTACCCGCTCGTCCAGCTTCACGTAGAAGTAATCATCACTAGCACCCGCAATAGCTCCCCACATATGCGGAGGAGCAAACCGAAAGAAGGCCTTGGAAGGCGTCAATGCTGCCACAAGGGCGTCATCAGTACATCCATGGTTCCCTTGATAGATATTAGGATAGTCACGCGCCATCCAGTCGGCAGGTCGATCTTCATAGGACTCGTGCGTGTATGGCAGTGATTCCTCGTTCGGGGGCTCGCTCCACTCATTGAACTACATGTCGGTCAAGACATCTTTATGTACGTTGCCACGCGCAAGCTTATTCACCCATCAACAGGAGCTAAAAACGAAGATTCAAATAGACATCAGGTCCAGTAGACGCATCTTCTGCGAGGTTCAGTTGGACCAAAAAGCTCATCGTCGTCCAACACAGACTTTCTGTCATTTTCCGCGTCTGAGTCATGCAAGCGCTGCATAGTGACCAATATCCTCTCCAGGCTGCGTAAGGTTTCGATCGTCTGTGTCAGACACAATATGATCCGTAACATGTAGCACGAGACTACTGCCCAGGTTGTTTTTGAATAACTGTACGAAATGTTGTCCAGGTTGTGCCAGAGTTGTGTCCAGATTATTTGTCCAGGCCGTCATTTATATTCGCAACAAGGTAAAATATCATTGCTAGATCTTTGTGTAAGAACATCTGTGGCGCCCGCCTGACGATTGCTCACCGTCAGGCCGGTTAATGCTGTCGCACCTGTACTTCCTCTTTTTGATGCCAGATCGTTTTGGTGTGCAGGGGGAGTAGCGCTCAGAGAGTGGGAGAGACTATTATCTTCTTCATTCTCTATTGTGTGATGCGGTACGCAATGATCATGTTGTTATTCAGGCTGTTGTTCGGGTTGTTATTTAAGTTGTGAGCCGGGTTGTTGTCCGGGTCGTTGACCAGGTCGTTGGCCAGGTCGCGCATTTGATGGCTAAGAAGGTCGGTGCGAAGCTTATCCATCAAATTCGCGACGTCTTTCCTAGTTACTTCTTAAGCCTAATGGTCTCGGATGTACTCGTAAATCCATAAACCCTTGCCTCCAGAACGAATCATCAAACGGAGGTCTTTCACAATTGGCTCTCCCATCGGTACTTGGCGGTTGTGCGGGTAGTTGTCGAACACATCCCATGACAGCGTGTTGTTATGTGTGTAAATCGGGTGGCGGATCTCAACTTTCCACGACGCCTCAACGTAGACGCTCTATGCGATGAAGCGGAATGGGTTCTGCATTCCACGTAGTTTCAGTTGTGGACGGGTTCCTTTCGCCCGAGGTCGATCCGGCCAACCATGTCTGCAGATATAACAGCAACGCCATCGCGGTAAATCGTCAGGCAGGTATCTAATGGTACGGCCATCCTTCACCCGCTTGGACACTCGCAACGGCTGGTTCCTTTTCGCAACAGACTTGGTTTCTTTCACGACAAGATGCGAACTC